TGTTTTGGTCTAGATTGCTTCCGAATTGGTTGTTGAGGCCTTCTGATGAAATTTAAACCTGTTTCTCAGATTTCAAATGGTTTTGGAATTTCTGGATTTGGATTTGTAGAGCCTGAGTTATGATGTTTCCGCTAGAATGCGTTTTGGTGAATCTGTTTTACGTTGTTGATGAAGTATCTTGCATTTTTGACCTGTTTGCACTCAAAAATGGGTTGAGTGACCTTATTTGATGTTGTATCCCTGTCTTTTAGCTTCGAAATGGTGGGTCTTTCACCCTCATCCGATAATCGTAGTGCATTTGGTGCTATTACCGCAAAGTAAAGTCAAAACCTGTTTTTTTTTCAGGGCCAAAGTTAATTGCATGTCCGAAATTTCTGGTTTTCTTTAATGTTTGTATATGTTTATGGAACCCTATTGGGGTCATATTTGGCATTGGTTTATGACTCGTTATCGAGTCTCCTTGTATTTGTTTGCATGTTTTAGGGATTGTTTTCATTCCGGTCATTTCCTAGCTAACTTTTGTACTTGTACTACTTTGAGCCTCGTGAACGGCTTTTGGGAAATGAGATGACTTTTGTGTGAGATGTTGGGACTGATTTGAGGAAATAATGAAGCCTTAATGGCTGGAAAAGTAAGAAAATTAGGGGAAGTGCTGCCCGATTTTCTAGGCCGTTTGGTTCTTTTAAGTTGGATTTGCCTTTTGGTAGAAATGAAAGGGATTTTGGGTTGTTGAACCTAGGTCTTCATGTTATCTTTTTATTCCCAAAAATCATGTTTTGTACCCTTGCATTTGTAATTATTTGGCGAGGCATACGACTAGTAGTCGAGCCTCATGTGCATTTTGTTTACTCGATTATGGATGTGAAACCTTCAATTGGTTTATTGTGATTATTTTATGGTTTCTTGGCGATTAAGGCCAATCTTAAGTAAAAACTTTTGAAGTTGAATCGGTGAGTGTACCACTCCCCTCCATTGCTGTTTAACTTGATTTCTGCTCTGTAATCTGTTTATTTGTTCGAGACGAGGGTGTAATTTATCACACTCGTTCTCTTGTGTGTTCATATGCCAATTTACTATGCAAAATTTGAATATGTTATCTGTGTCTGCATCTGTTCGGATTTCTATGACCTATGAGCTCAATCCTGTGGCTAAGTTATTCGAGTCGGGCCGGCAAGGGCCTGGACGATTAGATAACGAACCACGGTAGTCTGTTCGGGGATCTTTGGGTATTGAGACCCTTGATTCCGGTATACTCGAGTATTACCATTTATGTTCGAATACGGTGAGCGGGCCCGGTAAAGGGGTGTTTGGTGGACGGAATTCGGTGCGAAGTGAGGTCTACGGACGCGTTGGTTCTATATACGTTGACGGAGAGTCAACCGGTTTGGATCAAGTGTTTGGCTGGAAATTTGGCTCCTGAGAGCCACCTGTATCCTTCTGATTTGAATCATTGGTTACTTTACTTTACATCTGACATGTGTATCTAATTTGTTAAATGTGAAATGCCATGATTTTAATGCTATGTATTTGGTACCTCATTGAGCGCAAGCTCATCCCTTTCTGTTCCTTTTGTTTTCCTTACAGGAAAATAAACACTTTTGGTCTGGATTTGACAAATGGCTTCCAAATTGAGCTAGTTGGGCATGTCTTTTGTATAGCTCGTTGATTAAAACCCTAAGTGTACTTTTGGGGCGTTTTCTCTTTTGATTTGGCAAACCGTGTATATATATTAACTTTTGAAAACTTTTGTATGTCATTTTGGATTGTAATCGCTAAAGTTCAGATGTGAATGTTTGCTTGCTATTTCGGTTGGGTTCTGACGGGTCGGTTACTATTCATAGCCGACTTCGGTTTCACTTTTAACATTTTGATTTGTTTACCCGCGTTGGTAAGATCCGGATTATATTAGCCCGTTCTATACCGAACCGTTAGTCCTGGACAGAGGTGGGCAGGCGGTCCGCCGAACCCTTTGGTTCGCCTTAGGGTAAGGTGGGGCTGTCACACACCCAAACGGCATCATGTCCTTTTTGCGTCCTTGGCAACCCGGAGACAAAGTCCATCGTGATGTTTTCCCACTTCCATTCAGGTATTTCAAGAGGTTGCAACAAACCAGAGGATTTTTGGTGTTCAGCCTTAACTTGCTGGCAGACGAGACAGGTTTGCACATCGCGGGCGATTTTCCTCTTCATATTATCCCACCAATATAACCATCGTAGATCCTGATACATCTTTCTACTATCCGGATCGATCGTATATTTTGATCGATGGGCTTCCTCCAAAATTTCCCTTTTCACTGTTTCATCCTTAGACACCACTATTCGATTTCGATATTTCAAAATTTCTTCAGGACTTAAATTGAAATCAGACATTTCCCCCTTCTCCACCTTGTCCACCCATTTTTGTACTATTGGATCCTCCTTCTGGGCCTTCTTAATTTGATCTAGAATAGTGGAGGTCACACGGATATTCCCAAAGGTCACATTTTTATGATCCAAACTAGGGTTCCACTCACTAACTGCTCCTAACATCTCCCACTCTTTGACCATTAACCCCGTTATTTGAGCCTTCCGACTTAAGGCATCGGCTACTACATTAGCCTTCCCCGGATTGTAGTTAATCATGCAGTCATAGTCCTCCAAAAATTCCATCCAACGTCGCTATCTCATGTTCAGTTCTTTTTGGGAAAATAGATACTTAAGGCTCTTATGGTCATAATAAACCTCAAAGGTTACCCCGTACAGGTAGTGCCTCCACTTTTTCAGAGCAAAGACCACGGCTACTAGCTCCAAGTTGTGGGTGGGATAGTTTTGTTCGTGAGGTTTCAATTTCCTAGAGGTAAAAGAAATCACATTCTTGTTTTGCATAAGCACGCACCCCAAACCTTCTCTCGAGGCATCAGTATATACGGTGAAACTATCCGTACCATTAGGCAAAGCTAGAATAGGGGTCATGGTTAACCTTCGCTTTAATTCTTGAAAACACTTTTCACATCTAGCGTCCCACAGAAAACGGCCATTCTTTTTCGTCAAGTCGGTTAAAAGACCGGCAAGTTTTGAGAAATCATTAATAAAACGACGATAATAACCTACCAACCCCAGAAAGCTTCGAATCTCGGTGGGATTTTTAGGCCTTTTCCACTCAGTCACAGCCTCTACTTTCGCCGGGTCTATGGAGATACCCTCTTTCGAAATCACATGCCCAAGAAAGAGATTTTATCTAGTCAAAATTCACACTTACTAAATTTGGCATATAGCTGGTGATCTCTTAGGGTTTGTAAGACTAATTTCAAGTGCTGCTCATGTTCCTCACGGGTTTTTGAATAAACCAAAATGTCATCAATAAAGACCACAACAAATTGGTCCAGGTAGGGTTTGAAAACCCGATGCATCAAATCCATAAAAGCGGCGCGAACTCAAAATGCCGATATCTAGAATTGAAGGCAGTCTTTGGTACATCCTCTTTCCTGATTAACAATTAATAGTACCCCTATCAGAGGTCTAATTTCGAAAAGACCACTGCTCCTTGTAGTTGGTCCAACAATTCATTGATATGGGGCAGTGGGTATTTATTCTTAATGGTCACATTGTTCAACCCTCGATAATCTATACACAGCCTCAAGCTCCCGTTCTACTTCTTAACGAATAGTACAGGGGCTCCCCATGGAGATCCGCTCTCTCGGATAAACCCTCGCTCCAACAGGTCTTGCAACTGCAACTTTAACTCCTTAAGTTCAGCAGGTGCCATCCGATATGGGGTCATAGAGATAGGTGACGTCCCCGGTAACAAGTCAATCTTGAACTCTATCTCTCTCTCCGGAGGTAAAGTCACTAATTCGTCAGGGAACACATCCGGATATTCATTCACTACTAGTACATCTTCTACCCTCAACTTATCGGTGGGAGTATAAGAAAAGCTAGGAACCCTTGCACCCCCTTACTCAATAGTTTCCTAGCCCGAATACCTGAAATCAATGCAGATGAGGCTAGGCTACCTCTCACAACTAGCCTTAAAGTTGCCTCCCCAGGTATACGAAATTCTACCACTTTTCTCTTACAGTCAAGTTAGGCGTCATACTTAGCTAACCAGTCCATTCCCAATATAACATCGTATCCCTTAATAGCTAAGCTTATAAGATTCCCCAATAGCTTCCTCTCTCCTACCCAAATTTCACAATTAGCATACATCATACTAGTGATCAAACGTTAGTCCCCCGTAGGAGTACTAACTTCCAAGTCATAAGGCAAGCTAATAGGTTTTATATCAATTCCGCACATAAAATTGGGGTTAACAAAGGAATGGGTAGCACCGGGGTCTATCAAAATCCTTGCTAGACGATGGAAGACAGGGATCGTACCTTCCACGATCTCAGATGAGTCAGGGACTTGGCGTTGCTCAAGGGAGTACACCCGAACTGGCACCTTAGGTCTCGTCCCGTCCACCTTGGATTGCCCGAAATTGGCCTTTGATGATTGCGAAGTCACTCTCGCTTCTCGAGGTAAAACCGAACAGTTAGCAATTTGATGCTCCGCACTCCCACAGCATAAGCATTTCCTTTCCTTCCTCCAGCAGTTGTCCTCCGTGTGGTTTGGTTTCCCACAATATCCACAAGGACCCCGGGAGACAGAGGCTGAGCTTCCCTATAAGGCACTTCTCTGTTGGCCTCGTCCAACGAGACCACCCCTTGGCGAGGTTCCTCTTGACATTCCCGGAAGTCTCACTCCTCCGGTCCCCCTTCCAGACTTGGGAGGGTTACCTTTATCACCTTGCCCTGAACAACTTCCAGGGAATCCTCTTTTCTTCACTTGGAACTTTCTAACTTGGAGTCTCGCATTTTCAACTCGTAATGCTTTTTCCACCGCCTCACTAAATGTATTAATCTGGGCTACCGCCAGATCCTTCTGAATTTTCACATTTAGCCCCTGAATAAATCGTCGCACCCTCCTTTGCTCAGTTACAATAAGTTCAGGGGCGAACTTAGACAGTCGAGTAAATTGGCTCTCTTAGTCGGCCGCAGTTTGAGTTCCCTGACGGAGCCTAATGAACTCGTCCTCCTTCTTTTCCTGAACTAAGGGCGAAAAATACTTAGCGTTAAACTCCCTCATGAAGTTTATCCACGTCCTTGGCGTTAGCTCTCTTTTCCATTTTATTCGAATAACGTTCAACCAAGAACAAGCGGCCCCCTCCAGCTGGAAGACAGCAAAAGTAACCTGTCTCTCCTCCGAATAGTGTAAAGCCGCAAATATATCTATCATATTCTCCAACCACCTTTCAGCCACATCTGGATCTGGTCCTCCCAGGAATTTTGATAGGGAGAACTTTTGAAATCTTTCGAGGGCTCTGTCCTCACCCTCTATATGATTGCCAGGGTTTCCAGGTTGATGCACGAGATGTTGGCCCTGGTGTTCCACTACGTGGGCCAACAGATCAGTCATTTGCTGAATAGCAGCGGCTGGGCATTAGGGTTGACCCTAGGTTCAGGGTTTGGTTCAGGCGTGGGTTCTCGATTACCCCCTTCAGTCGAGAGTTGCCTAATTCCGCGACCACGGCCTCGTCCACTACGAGTACCCTCCATTGATTTGCCCAATCTAGGGTCAAAACACAAATACGATATCAAAGTAATATATAGACATGAACAAATGAACACATAGCTAACAACATATATACATATAACACACAAATGTATCAAACAAGTCATACAGTAGCAGTCAGTCAAATATATACAAAAGTAATCCCATGAAAGTAGTGGGGTCAACCAAAAGTACAATGTACAACCTAGGTCCAAAAGTGCAAAACAGCTAACTAAAAGCTTTCCCTAGGTATCCCTCGCACGGGATCAAAACATGGCCCAAGGAACTCTAACCTAGTTCTCAACTTAGCCAACCGACTCCTCCCCAGAGCTAGAGCTAGGGGCGCCTCCCTCGCTTGGAGTTCCGTCGCCCGGAACTCCTCCTGGCACATTAGTGCCAATCACTCCCTGGATTAGCGCCTCACACTCGTTTATAACACCTCCAGACCGGTCCCTAACCTTCCGGACCACCCTAGTGAGACGGTTGTTGGCTACGTGTAACTGGTCTCTAAGGGCGTTCGTCCGCTCTTGCTCCATGGCTATGTCCCCCTGGAGCTCCCGAATTCGATCCGCTTGCATCCTCATGATGCCCCTCACACGCAGCATTTCAGTGTGATCTCTGGTGGCAACACGTCTGGGCCTCCTCCTCTCATCTAATACTGCCACGACCACATGGTCAGCGTAGGAGTAATGCTAGCAACGGCTACAGTCCCTAGTCCGATTAGCCGTACTCCAGCGCCGAATCGGTCCTCCGAGCCTCTCCTCACAATCGACAACACGAAAACGCCTCCAAGGCGGCTCACCTCCGCTCCCACTAGCTCCGTCCATGACCTATGAGGATATCCACAGTTTACAACCTAGACAGAGTAATAACACTTAAACACACCCTAACACAATCCCCAAAAGGTCTAAGAATCAAGTTTCGGGTTTGCCCAGGTTATTTCTAACCTAGGCTCTGATATCAAATGTGACAACCCCACCTTCCCCTAGGGCGTACCCTAAGGGTTAGCGGACTGCCTGCCCAACTCTCGCCAGGACTACTAAACTAAACACACGGTTGTCAAATCATATAGTGCAATCGCACGTCGAATATATGCTTCCACGGGCACGACACGAAACGAAAACGAAAAAAAAATGAAACTGGAAAACACCTGCCACGTCACAATTAGGCCGGTTTCTAGCCAGAGATCCGATAGGATTGGAGGCAGAGGCTGAACAGAAATGGAACACAAAATCCCCTGTCAATTCGGCCAAGATCCGGCCGGATAAGCGGTCGGATTCTCTTCCCGCCAAAATTTTTTTCTTTCTTTGTTCAAATTTCACACTCGTCCGAAATCAAATCAAGAACAAGTAAACTTTATATAACATTAGAAAAGGTACAATACCAAGGAAATATATACCACATAAACATGAGAAACACTTTTATATACACACGTTGGTAAAATTGCAAATCAAAAGGAAACATTGGATCGAAATACATTTAGGGTTTCCAACTACCGAGGAGCTATACAAAAGAACAAAAGAATATCTAAGTAGCTCAACTCGCTTCTCAAAATCATGATTTCCAAAAGTGGTTTCTGTAAGAAAAACAAAGATAACGAGGGTGACCTTACGCCCAATGAGGTACCAACAAGTCACACGTCCAAGATTCACTTCATGCTCAATTATACATGGCTAGTAACCACAGAAGAAAAAGCATCACAAGGCAATTAGAAGTAAAAGGATACAGTCGGCTCTCAAGAGCCAAGTCCCCCTTTTGCAGTACTAGATCTCAATCTCGTTGACACTCCGTCAACATTCGAAGAAACAAACCTGACCGTAGATCCCACTTTACACCAAGTACCTTTCACCGAACATTCCCCTTACCGGGCCCGAACACCTCACAGAAACAGAGAGGGTAATACTCGAGCATACCACAAGTCGAGGAGATAACACACCACTCGACAAACAGTAAACCCATGGTTCATTATCTAATCACCAGAGCCTTGCCGGCTCGACTCGATTATGACCACTGAGGTTTGAGCTCAAATATCACAGTAAAGTCGTTGGACACTTGCCCCAAACGACATCAAACCATGCACAGGTAACCAATTCACAGTTATACAGTAATCAGTCACATAGGTAAGAGAATGAGAGTGATAAAGTACACTCTCGTCTCATGCACAGAACTCACAGTCATTCAGTCCAAAGATTCAAGTACAAATAACCATTTAAGCATTAAATCATGCAATGGTTCACTCACCAGCTCAAGTAAAGTAAATTCACAAATTTCCGTCCAACGTGGGCCTTGGATCACCGGCACGTCCTAAAACAAGCAAGAAACAACAATTGAGACTCGAACACGAGGCGGGTACTGATTCAATAAACCACTAATGCAAGACCAATATAGCTTGGAAAGGAAAATAAATAACATTTAGGGCTAAAAGCTTAAACAAGCCCAAAACCTTTCATTTCTACCCAACCTCAACCTAAACTCAAAGGAACCCAATATCCTCAACATTTGGACAGCATTTCCCCTAAAATTTCAGATTTTCCATCCTACAAACAACCATTTAAATTCATCCAAAACAACCACAAGTACACATACAAATTATAGGCTATTCAACACACCTCATTAGAGTTACAATACCCTTCAATTTTACCCAAATAAGAGCTCAACAACCAACCATAGTAAAGCCCTAATTAGAAACCCTAAAACTGAAATTTTCCGCACAAGCTGAAATTTTCCGCAACCAACACACAAAAGCTCCATTTTACACAATATAAAGCTATCATTCCATGGCCAACCATAATCATCATATGAAAACAGAAAAATCACCAAAAAATCTGAAATTTAACTAACTCCACTTTAATCCATGAAATCTTCCATAAAACAACCTATTTAGCCACTACAAGTCACTAATTTACCATTATTACAAACAAATAAGGAGTTTCTAAGTAAAGTACCTTGAAACCTCAAGAAAGGTAGCAGTTTAGGGTTTCCTCTTCCAAAACAACTCTACCAATACCTCTAACCCTCCTTAGCAAGTGACTTTTATGGACAAATTTGAGATTTTAGTGGTTGGATTTCAAGATATAAGCAAGAAATGGAAGCCAAAAGTTGAAGCTTGCTCTCTTCTTTCCTCTTAAGGAGCTCGGCCAAGAAGGGTGAAAATGAAGATGATTTTGGGTCACAATTGATGTTTTGGTAAAGGTAAAGAAAGGTGGTCAAAGTCCAACTTCGAATAGTAAGGCGACACGTGGCACCTTTTATATTTAAAGCTATCTTCTTGTCTCCTCATGGTTAATCCATCTAGGTAACCTCTAATTATCTCCTAACACCTAGTAACTTAATCCCTTTATGCAAAACTTAACCTAATTGGCCGAATTTATGGCACTTAACGCCCTAGCGGGTCCCACGTCCAATATACACTCCTAATATCTCATAAACTAACTTATACTAAAAAAATGATTTAAAAACTATATTTACTTATAAAAATATCTATAAAATTAATATAATAAAGAAAACAAAGAAGACGTGTACAAAGAAATAAAATAATGCCTAGAAATAAAGAAATTTTCGAGTTCTCACAATTTGCAAGTTTCATACTCAGCCATGTTGTTAGTAAAAAAAAAGCATAACTTAGCAGCGGCAGGATAATACTTTCCTTCAGGTGATACAAGAATAGCTCCAATTCCAACCCCCAAAAGAATTTTAAGCGCCGTTAAATAACAGTCTCCATCAAGGGTGCTATTTATTCAGTGGAGTCGCCAGCTGTCGCGCCCCATTTTTTATAAGAAAAATAAATGGTTTAAAAGTGAATTTTTGATTTGAAAAATGAATAAACAGCACGGGTCTAAATGGGACTTGAAAATGCGACGTTTGACCCAAAATAATAGTTTAAAAAGGGTTTTTGAAATAAAAATCGGAGTCGCCACTTGGTATTGAGTTAAGGTGTACCAAGTCACCTAAAAATAAATTTTTTAAAGAAAAAATAGAAAAAACCCTTTTTAAACGACTCCAAGCCTACGTAAATCAAAGAAAAAGGTTCGGGAGTCACATTTGAAGAAAGGGAATGCGAGGATAAAAATCCAAGGCACCCTTTCGACCTAGCCAAGACTAGTGGCGTGATTTAGTCAAAGACTTTCTTAATTTATCCTAAAAATTTATCACATTTGGATGTACTATATGAATGCAAACCCTAGACCTAAGAGGGTATCGGGGGGTTAAAATATCTCTTCGAAGCTCGAATGGTGCCAATCACATTAATTGTGATGCCCAATAGTGACTCTTTGGAGAGGTCACGAATAATGTAAAAATACGAGACACTAAGAAAAGAAAAGGAGAATAAAAATAATTATACAAATATACGTGACCTAAAGGATTGCATCATGTCGGGTGCGGGGGACTAGTGTTCGTGACTCAATTTTCCCTTTAATAGAGGGAATACGAGCGTGCTAAGGCTAGAGAGCTAAACTCGCCCATATCCCATATTCAAGGGGTTATTCCCTAATCTAATCAAGCAAATGCACTACCCTAATCCTAATTCTAAAATGAAATGCAATTCTAATGTTGTGTACCATACATAGGGGTATGTATTTAGGGATAAGGGATATACGTATAAGGGAAATATTATGTGAAAATGATAAAAATCCTAAAAAAATGGAAAAATATGCATGAAGTGTAGTGTAATCATACAAACATGATCTAACGAGGGAGGTCCCTAAGGGTCTAACATTGGACTAGCCCATGTCTATGAATCCTCACTAGCATTGGACTAGTGGGAAATCGGAACAAAGAGCCACAACTAGCGTTGGACTAGTGTCGTGACGGGAAAGGAATCACAGCTAGCATTGGACTAGTGTGATGACATGCATTTATTACAG